CTATCGTACGCCGTGTATGGCTTGCTATACAGCAACTTGTATCAGTACGCACACCAACTCTTGGCAAAAATTGTATCAGTCGAAACGAGGCGATTTATTTCATAGAACAAGAACTATGACGATGAAGATGCATCTAGTTTTGATTATATAACAATGTATGGTCAGTTATCAGGCGGATCAAGGCGAACTGTAACCGGAAGAGGCGCTAGCATCAGACAATATAGCTGTATCTTTCGCCCTTTCTTGTATGACCACAACACATTGTCAGTATGGTTTGAAATCAACGACTTAATACCAATTTTCAGGCTAGTAGTATCGAAGCAACATTGGACGAATTCATTGTTCAAGGGAATTGGTGGATATGGCAGATTTTTATCTGTTTCAGTTGAACCTGGCACCGATGGATATCAAACGCTGATTCTTATCACTGGCTACAACGTCCAAATCGAGTATTATCAAACTAAGACAATTCAGGAGCTTGAATGCAGATGAAGAAGCGATGGCAAACTGCTTTTGCGCGAATTTTCATTTCCTTTTAACGAGTCAATTATAGTACTTTTGAACATATTCACTTATTATTTTAAATCCGAAAAGAGGTCCTCTGTAGCCCGTCTCAAGACTTGCCTTCACTAAATGACGTGGCAAAGCGTGCAGTCGAATGAGAAGGAACAAACGGTATTCACACAGAGAACAATACGCTCAGCAAATTCGTCCAATCCATGCTTGACTGTCTAACACATTGCCTAATGCGCATTACATTTACCTGAAAAATTGGCATAAAACACTATTTGTTTATACGTAACGCGAAAGATACTGCATTCAGTCCGATAACTGACCAACACCGACGTTTCGACCCATGCCCCACGAGTCTTCTTCAAGGTTGGTTAGTGGTGAACTTTCGTGAATGCGGCTGGTCGCTCGCAGCAGTGTATTTATAAACCATGCCTTATGCTACTTGTTCAGTACGATCGCAAGAGCGAATAGGTCTACTTCAACTTGTTCGAAAACGCCAATATTTATTGCGGGCAACACATGCACCGTATTTATATTATTCCAGTTTCAGGGTGCATTTCGTGCGATTGCAGCACAGCAAAAGTACAGAGCTTGATCATATTTAATTTCGTTTTAGACTTGCATGATCGAGCCAGTTCTAGCACTATTGTTGAATTAAGTTAATGGTTGCAGTGAAGACCTCCATTTCCATAAAACTGGCAGGAAAGCTCTACGCCTAAAGGCAGAATCAACATCAACGACGTGACAAGTATTGTCTGCATTCCCTTCGCGCTCATTATAAGAGTAATACTCATCTAGCAACCTCGGAAAGAAGAAATGTGAAAGGCTGAATCTGGGGTTCTAATCTGAGACCTGTCTGTTCGGAATCGGGCGCTCTATCGACCGAGTAGGCCAAGTCGGGATCAACGTATAATAAACTCCTAGCTCAGAAGAATTTGTGATAAAATTAAATTTTTCACGTCTTTCGCATATTACCCCCGATCACTGACCACCTGTGCATTGAGCTGCAACTCCATTAGGTATAAGTTATATATAGCACTGTAATACTTGCTCCTGGGAAATCGTTGTCTATGAGAACAAAACCTATCTGACAAAACGGTGCTAGATGCACCTACCACCAGATATGTCCGATTACTTGCTCAAATGTCTCCCCTAATAAACTTGGAATATGTGCAGCTTGTAATAGGCTTGAAATCTGGTCTTGAGGGAGTTATAAATTAGGCAGTTTAGCTAAAATTCTTTTTACGCTAAAGTTTGTATTTCTTTGTTTTAGATCATTTGGTAAATTTTGGTTAGATGTTCACAAGACTCATTAAAACAGATGCCTGTTTGACCATGATTAAAGGCTTTGTCAAACTATCATCTAGGCGTACTTAAAGGTTGCTCAATCGACAGAGCGTATAGCTCAGTTGAAGCACTGGTCTAGTGGATCACTTTCTATTTTGCATTTTGTTGGATAGATAACATAAGGTTACGTGCTACAGTCACCACATTGTTGCAGGTAATACTGACTTGTGTTCAGACAATGAGATCAGCACCATATAATACTGGGTCCGTAAAAGAAAAGCACCAAATTACTGATAAAAAAATGTAGTGGGAGCAATCACCTAACTATTATAAACTTCACTTTCCTACCCATTTGAGAAAACTCAAGAGCCTGAAAATTACCTAGAGGAACAATAACAAAAAATTGCTGAAAATCGTCTTCTTAAATTATGCAAATAACATCTTAATTTATTGCAATTTTTAGAGTTGCGTATACATTTCGGCAGTACAGCAATACAGTAAGTGAACGATTTTCAAGTTAGTAACGACAACTCATAATGGCAAAAGTAGCAGTCCACCATTTGTTGGCTGCGTAGAAAGATTGTTTGTTTCCCGCGATTCCCATCATCTAGGCAGCAAGGAAAATGGTAAGCTTTTGCAGTTTAGATCACAGCTTTCAAAATAGTAAAACGATTTAGGTTCACTTCACCGTCGACGAAATTCGGGCCCTCATGGACCGCAAAAAGAACGTGAGGAACATGTCGGTGATAGCCCACGTGGACCATGGCAAGTCGACCCTGACCGACAGTCTGGTGTCGAAGGCGGGCATCATCGCGGCTCAGAAGGCGGGCGAAATGCGATTTACTGACACTAGGAAAGATGAACAAGAGCGTTGCATCACTATTAAGTCGACGTAAGTCGGCGCCGTTATCCATCTGCCGTTATTGAAACGACGTCAAGAGCGTTAAATTGTGATATTTGCTTTGTTGCTGTAATTCACTGTATTAGTCTTCATCCACGAAATCTGAGAGCATACCAGCTTAGTAACACAAACACCAGCCTCGACTCAGTTTTCTCGAACCAGGTG